CAATCTAAAAAAGTTTGGACGAAAATGATTTGTAAACCTTCATTTAAGCGCAAAATGTTATACGTTAAATGTAACAAAAAGTGTCACGTCTCGGGTTTGATTGATTCGTGTCATTTAATGTAATCTTTGGTTGAGCTTTTCTATCCCTTCTCGTTGAGTTAACGACGTCTCATTTATAACAATATAAGGATATAATACTTCCCTGGGTGGGTTTCTACGAACGTTTGAAGATATGTCACAATCAAGATAGGGACCAATATTCGTCACTGTGATAATATTTTGTTGTAAAAGCGAGGAATAAGATTGACATAGATCTTAATATGAGTTTAAAGGACAGTTATAAATTTTGATAATTTAAGTGAAAAAGGAATGTTATTTATAATTTTGTTTCTATTAAAAAGCAGATCCAATCGTGATTCTGTGACGTTTTTTCTTCTCATAACTTGACAAATCTTACATATCCTCCACCGGATTCAAACTGGGTAGACACTGTGTTATGGTTACCAAGCGGCCGATGAACATGCATAAATATTTCTAAATGCAAACACATAGGAGATAAATTGTACCCAGACTCGGAAAACATCTTGAACGGGACCCATGGCCTCTAGCTTGACACTTATTATTATTAATGACTAGACCAACAGGCCAGTCCACAATATGACTGTCAGGCACAGGATTTGGTGATCAGTCTTTTTTTGATGATATATGTTTAAGGTAAAACTTCATTCTTTTAAATATCACTAGTAAATGAGCACAGTCGAGCTAAACTACCTACCATAAACAAAATTAATAAACTTTTAATGTTGACATACAGCCTATTTAACATGCCTACTTTAGCTCACATTGTCTAGAGTCATATTCCCGTCTATCCATTACTAATAACTTTTACTAGCATTCTCCATCTCATCTTACTAAGTTACCGATAATATTCAATTGACACGGGCGCTTCCGTTCGGCGCGCGCGCAGCGATCGACCCCACTCAATTACCTCGCTAGTGATAACGCTCGGCTTCGGTTACACAACACTGGTGGTCCTATTAACTAATTGTTATATTAAATAATATAATTTTGTTTCGAGATACAAGTTAATATGGGTTTTAAATTGGCGTATTTGACAAAACAAAACAAATATTTGTTGGCTTAATTTTATTTTTCTTGCAAATATTTTTATGTATGATTACTATTTTTTGGATCGGTCTGCATGTTTTTATGTCCAATATTTTTATATATATTTGACAAAACAAACAGTATTAGTATATCCATAGTATAGGTATAAAATCTTATTAGTTTGAAAAAATATGAAAAACGGTAGGCACTGGTCAGGTACCTCCTCACTGTACGGGAGCCGTTGCTCCAACCGTCTGACGCGTGCCTATTAGTGTGTTGAGTATATTGCTATCAATTTCATTTATGAGCAGATGTCGTTCTCAGAACATTGGGCAGCGACTCAATGTTCCGCAAATCCACTATCTCGTGAGAAAAGTCCAATCATTTTATTTCTTTATTAGTTAATAGAAATAAATAATAGAAAGTTACAGAAGAAATGTTATTTTCCTACTTGTTCAATAAATAAACAGCATTATCATCAACAACCTATAACAGTCCACTGCTGGACATAGGCCCCGCTTAGAAAAGAGGTTTTGGCCTACTATACCACGCTGGCCAGACGGGTTGGTATAGGGTTTGTGTCAAGTTTTCCTTCTCTCTGCAGTGCTGTTGTCCTGCGTAGTTTGCTTCCTTAGTCGCCTCTTACGACACCCACGGGACGAATAGGGGTAGTGACATAATATATAAAATGCATAGATTTATTTTCTTAATCAATTTCGAAAACACAGGAATTTTTACATCATATATTAGCGTCCCTTTAGAGAATATTATACAGAAAAATGTTTTTGTATGATTTTTATTTAAAGCAATACAATGTTGTTTCCAGTTCCGATTTAATTACAAAAACAATGTATCAGCCTATTATAATATCAACAGCTTAAAACAATAGTTATTCAACCAAATTTATTTAACCTTTCGGGTCAAAGTCTTTTATTACACTTATATTAAAAAATATCGATGTCTGGGCAATGACTTTGTACCAGTTTTTTTTGAGTTTTGTAATCCTGTAAAATAAAATCATCAAAACTTACTTACTAAGATATTGTTCGTGTCATAAAGGTTATTTTTATAATTATCACATTTTACCTAATTATCATATTAAAATAACAAATTCTTAAAGCGCACAGGTAGGTAGGTAGTAGTTCCTTATAACCCTGGGTTCACATGCGTTAATGTAGGCTTCATCAATCAGCAATCTACTCTTCCAAAACAGTATTTCTTTTCAGGTGAAAGGAACCCTATTTTATTTCATGTGTTCAAAATTTCACGATGATCGGTTGACTAATTTAGGCTTGAAAGCTTAATAAACAAACTTACATTCACTTATTTACAATATCAGTTTAAATATTATATCACGCAAGAAACTAGCGTAAAGACGTCACTATAGCTTATACATGTTCATATGGAAAAGTTTAGACTTGCGTATAACAATATAAAGTTAATAGAAGTCGTTCCATTTAGATTCCAAAAACGCATTCTTTTAGTTAGCAAAAACAATATTAACAATATTTGATCTGATACACTCCTTCAGATTAAAACCCAATGTTTACCCAGGTGTCGAAGAGGCTACCCGTCGGTCATTACCCAAGCAATAAACATACTAAAAGCTTTATTAGATGTTATGCCAGTGAAATATTTCACAATGAAACTAGAGACGCGACACGGAATCCGGTAGCCGTTATCGGTACTTAGTTCGACAAATGATTTATTTGAACCATAATATGTGACCGTGTGAGCGATTGTTTTAAAAGATCTCGATTATAATGCGTAGGTTGGGAGTCTTTTGATGATTTATTATTTAAAAAAAAAACTATCTTTTATAAGAACTGCTAAACTTGTTTTTACATACATTGCTACTAGCTTAATAAGTTTTCACGTAACAGGCACGATAAGTATTGTATTCTTGTGATATTGACTTGTTTTTAGTTCATAAAACAGTTTCATACAATTTTGTGAATTAAAAAGAGCTTGTTATTACTTCTAAACTTTTAACATATCAATATTAAATGAATAAAGCATTATATTTAAGATCTTTTAGGTAATTATAACTAAATCATTTTACACATTTACCGATTCCCACTAAATAACTCAATATCGAGCACCTCCTTTTTATTTTTAATGACCTTAATTAACGAAAACTTTAAAATTTAAAATTAATGTCAACAAAGTTATTCTAGAACAATTGTCAAGTTATATTTTATTAACTTGTAACAAGGTTAATCACTATGTATTTTTTTTATTGCCTCTGTACATGCCATCAAATATATTCATATTATTCATCAGGATTTCTTAAGGCTCTCGTTTACGACAATATGCAAAACATTTTAATATTAATTACATATTTCTGATGATAAATAAAAAAATGAAAACCAAATATCTCTGCTAAATCATTAATATAAAGACACACCCATCTTACTGACAACTACTATTTATCTCTAAGATCGTTTCGTCATTAATTATCGATGTAAAAACATCGATAACTACAAATCTACTAATGGAAATAGATGCCGCACTACAGGAAGCCTTTTCTCGTAATTTGTCAAGATGACATTTGACATCATTCAAACTGGTTTATGTTACCTTAGTCATGTGTTTGTTGAATTGTTATTAAATGTGTAGAATGCTTTGCTTAACTCATTACATATTTTTTAGTTTATTAAACCTTATTTTAAGTAAGAAGTGATTTCAAAGCAACCTTATGAAATCAAAAGGCTGCCAGCTAGCAAGAGGTAGCAAAATTAAAATAAATAAATTATTATTTTTTGTCTTAATAAGACAAAAACAAAAACAAAAAAAATAGTCTTATTAATTAAAAAGTTTTGTTAGAAGTACAAAACTTCTCATTCGCACCGTCAAATAATAAAAAATTGTGTATGTGTGTGTGTTGTGAAATACTCAAAATTGTTTTTAATAAACTGGGGCTCAACTATTATACTGCTATATCTCTCTTTATATAACATAAGAATACAAGTTGTACCATTCATTTAGATATGAAAAAGACCTGTTCCGTACCTATTATGTTGATAAATGAGTATTTTTAATATCGACGCAGCCCATCACTAGCAGTGAAGTTGTTTGTTTTGCCGGTAGCAAGCAGTGTCGCTTTGATAAATATCCTTAAAGATTGTTCGGACTCCTCGATAATTTCTCTCAGAACCTCACACTTTAAATCACAGAGCAATTTCAACTTTACTATCAGTAATATAAAGTAAATACTTTCTTGATAAGTATGTATCTGCTGCTCAAAGATTTATGATACCCTTATAGTCTGTTTTATAGTTAGTTGATAAAACACTATCGTGATTATTTAGCTTACCTCTGTGACTGGCTGAATCTATTTTGTTTATTTAACATGCCACTAATATTATTCACAGATGTTATCTACATATTCGTAAAGTTAATTCTCATAAACATATAGTATTATGTTTCAGCTGTCTTACTTAAGTAATAGCATGGAAATAGCAAATCTATTTGTGTAGCTACGATAGAGGATTCACTCATGTTACATGTCATACGAGACATATCTTATATACATATATATAAAAACGATTTTCATCATAAACGACAAATGCAACTTTTTATCATAAGTTAATATTTATTTCAAATATTTTTCCCAATTTGACAAAGTAGATTACTAGTCGTTTCGCTCCGTTCGTTAAAATATTGTCAAAAGAGAACAACGATTACAGGGACACGTCTGTTCCGTAGAAAAACACAGTCAAGTTTTCACGCTAAACTCATAAACTTCTCAAACGAATAAAAGTATCATAAATAATATCGTAATATCACCACGACATCTCTCGGTGCGTCAATTTTCTCCGCTCGGTAAAAACGTGTAGCAACATTGTATGCCGTCAAACACAATCGACTCATTTCAATTTTTTTATTTTCAGGTAAAAAGTGGCGTTCGCTCACACCACAAGACAGGCGGCCGTTCGTTGAGGAAGCGGAGCGTCTGCGAGTGATACACATGACTGAGCATCCAAACTACAAGTATAGGCCTCGTCGACGGAAGCAGAATAAAACACGCCCAAACCAACCAAGCACACCAGCGAGCGCTCCGCCTGCTGCCTCTGCTGCACTAGGCTCGCCCTACGCCACGGGTACTGATTCACCTGATGCTCGTTTCTCGCACAATCCTGGCGCCGGATTCTCTCCCTACCGAACCTCGCCTCTCGCCTCTGATTACCAGACAAACCAACAATTTAACGGACACGTTCAAACACCAGAATCTTCTCCAGCCCGTTCCCCTGAACCACAAGGCAGGAGGAGTGCACCCGCTGAGGCTCCTCTCCCGACACCTGATGCCTCACCAGTTGAAAACGAAAAGGAAAACTTCCAATACGAAGAAAGAAGGCGTGCGATTAACGCATCTTCCATGTCTGAATCATACTCTCCTTACAAAACGTATAGAACGCCGGGTTCCTTTTCGCCAGCGCCTGTAGCAGCCATGGGCATGGCCAATGGCATGTACGTGATGTGCACTCAGAGAACTTTGACTGAGCAGCCTCCGCTCGTGACTGGGACATTTTTTCCACCAGTCGCTACTTCGCAGGATCAACAAGCTTTAGGCACGACCACGCCTAGAGTTTCTTCAGCTCCTAGTGGTAACATGCCGACGGAATACAGCATTCAATATCATCCCTATGAGCAATACGAACACATGTATAAAACTGAGGATTCATATGTTTCCCATTATCCTGATCAGCCAAAAACTGAGTACGATACTGGTGGCACTTATTTCTCTGAGGAGCCGCCAGCAAATCAGCAGCAGCAGGAAGGGGAGCAAAACTTTATGAATCAGCGTCCAGAAATCCGAACGGGTTCACCTGAATCTGACGTAGATGCTAGGGAGTTTGATAAATACTTGGACTATGGAACTGAAGGTCAGATGGAACAGCATCAACAGCAGTATAGATATGAGCAACAGCAGGGCTACCCACGGCCTCCATACTGCGGTGAGCAGGCCGTTGGTCCAGAGTACTGTTCTGAAAGAATGTACGCGTCTCCGTATGCATCAGTGATTTCTGGAGCCCCGCCTACTTCTTACCCTTCTAGTGCTCCGGGTAGTGACGTCAGACCTGAAGACGAGTTTAGCGTTATACTGGCCGGAGTACGACAGACTTGTTACAGCAATTGACTAGAGAGGAACTGACGAGCTGTAGTAAATGGACTCTTCCTAAAATATAGCCCAAAGAGTTGATTTCCTTCTAAATGTAAAATGCTTTCATATGTTCTGTGGATTTACGAAGTGATATTGTAAGAATTTTCTACTAAACCTAAACACAAATGTAAAGGAATCTTGCTTTTTTATAAAATATTTACCATAACATCACGGCGGTGTAAGTTGTCTGGTATACATTTATATTACCGTTAAAATACGAAATACGTTAAATGCGTATTGACTAGGTAATCTGCAAATTACCGATTTTGATCCGTTAATGTTAAATTTTACCTAAAATAGCAGATATTTATCCTTTACCTAGTTAATCGGCATTTTAACGGATGCAGTCAGTCAGTCTGCAGATTATCTAGTTAATATAAGAACTGATACATTATTCCACTTTAACGGACTCAACCAGATAATCTGTAGATTAAGAAGGTAATCTGCACTCTAACTGATTTAGGCACATTAGCGGTAACATGTCGCTGGCAATCGTAGTGAATTTATATAATTTGTATAATGCTTTCAATTATTTATTGTTTAAACTGTAAATAAATTGAAAAAAGAAAGTAACATATTTTAAGTCCATTTATACGTTTGTAGAGAAATAAATGATAACTTTAATAAAACTGTATGAATGTAGTCCCAAAATTGTCTGTGCCTATTAGATGATAATATTATAAATCATACGAAATTAAATGTAACGGCAGCAATTTATAACTGAGAATGTTATGGTTGTTAAAAATGTAAAAAAAATATATAAAAAATGCTGTTAATATTTAATCCGAATCGGTGCTATGTGAAGAAGTCCTAAAATATTATTTTTTGTACGTCTTAATCCGTATACCATTGAGGTAGCGAATATTGCGATTCCTATGTAAAAGATTATTTATTTGTAACTATTTTTGTATATTTCGTAGTTAACAATAGAATGAGCGTTGAATTAAATCAAATATAGATATTCAATAAGCCTGTAGATATATAATTAAGTTGTATTTTTATACTGTTTTAGTAATTAAAAACTACTGTTTCTGTATAAACTGTTAGAATATTTTAATAAAGAAATATCTCATAGATTATAATTATTTGTACTAAAATTATCACTAGTTAAATTGTTTTTAGTTTATGGCTGCAATTTTTAGATTTTATGCAAAACACTCGCTCTGCGACACTAAGTTCTTCCTATTTGTAAGAAAATTTATAAGGAACAATAAAATTTTATTCATATTTTCATTTTCTAATTTATTTTTACCGCACCATCTAGTTCACCTTAAATGTCTCCCGTACTTTCACGAATGTCTTTTCGATTATTTAAAACAGCAAAATTATATTCAAAGCTCGTTGAGTATCTTAAGACGGGCTTAAGACGGGCCTGTTGGTCTAGCGGATTCGATCCCCACCCAGGACAAATAATTCTGTGATGAGCACGATCATTTGTTCTGTGTCTGGGTGTAATTTATCTATATTATGTATGTATTTAGAAATATATAAGTATGTTTATCAGCAGTCTGATTACCATAGTACAGGCTCTGCGTAGTTTGGGATCAGACAGCCGTGTGTGAGATGTGTAAAATTATTATATTATTATTATATATTAAGTCTTTCATTGTGACCACGGCCAATGCAATCTGCTCGTAACGTAAGGGAATTCATAGGTATGGAAACATTTATACCCATGAATGAATATAATGAAATGTGAAAGTTTTAGTTTTGTTTTGTTAGTAAGACTCTTATTATTCCAAATATTGGATCAATCAGTTTTTAAACATCGAGTCTTTAAGCATCGGAGTAAAAGCAAGGAAGGTTGGGACCTACATTCTGGAGCTGGACTTGCGAAGCGTTCTTGTGTAATTATACTGCTATAACAAAGGGTTTAACGACCTGATGACATTGACACGTAGCCATTGGTTGGGTGCAGGTGCAACGCAAGAACGTGCTTTGTGGAGTATCTAGTAATCTAGTAATCTTCAGCAATAGTCACTGTGGCTGAAATGCATAGCTGATGACATACCCCACTTGAAATAGTATACTTTTAAAGTATGGCGATATTCTGTCGTAAGCAACTACATTTACCAACATGTATTGGTTAACTCTTTAAAAATTATAATACCTATTAATAAAATGAATACTTGGAGAATACTATGTCGTAAAATAAAAGAAATAAGTGCTTCATAACAACGGAAGTTATTTCATTAAAAAAGCTGAAATTAAAAAATAGGTTATCCTTCCATAAACAATTTATAACTGTGTTATATCTGGAACAACAAATAAATAGATATTGATTATTTATAACTTGACGCTGTTATGTATTGAACTACCTACATATAAACAACGACATGACAGTCCAATAACTAACAATATCAATTTTAATTCATAAATGAATTGTCTATTTCATGTATTGAATTCATTGCAAAAAAATCCAGCCTAAACTTAAATGATTTTAGATACGATGGTCGAGTTTTGTTATTAGATACACAAAGTGAAGGGGACCACAAGTAAATTTGAATAAGTTTGTAAAGATATGAAGCACAATACACTAGTTCATTTCTTCCCGCATAAAGAATATCTATCATTTCTTTATAAGCTGTCGGTGTGCCAAATTTCATACAACTTTGTTTCACTGGTTTCGCGTGAAACAGTATTAAATATCCATCGATTCATTCTTCCCAATAATCTTTCATGTATGTAATGTTTGTCACAATGTACATGACGTGTACAGTACAAAGCTGTATAATTAAGTCTACTGATTTTTCCTTTTGTAGCGAATAGTCATCCCAATATGTATTTACAATAAAAGAAGCTGTAATGCTTATTAAAAACATAAAATACCAATTAGGACTGCACGGATGGCGTAGTGGTTTAAGCGGTCGCCACGCCGCTTCCTAATACCCCGAGTATTGTGGGTTCAAACCCCACATGGGACGACACTTCGTGTGATCCACAAATTGTTGTTCTGAGTCTGGGTGTTCTTTGTGTCCGTTTCATGTAAAATCATTTTAAAAGTCCCCCGCGACACAGGATATATTCCAAATGCGGGAGTTGTCTTTTTAAGAAAAGAAAAAAAAAAGCATAATAATTCATTATTAATGTAATAACAAAACGGTTATTCTGAGATTGGTAAAATTCCGTGTTATACAGACTTACTCCCTAGTGTGATAATGGTCTAATAAAAGAAATGGTCGGAGTAATGTTAAGAGATGGTAACCAAGATTGTTTATACTCGCGCCTGTATTCCTGTAGAGTTAAGCAGAGGCAGATTAAAAACCGAAATTTTGCCAACTACAATTTAGTCCAACCCAAGGATTAGAGTGCTAGCTTATTGACATAAACCGAGCACCTGGTTTTGATGATTTAGTTTTTGATGACCTTATGTAGAAAATTGGACAATGCAGTTGTACATTCACTTCTAGTACTTTAAATTACTTACAATATAAAATCATCAGCATAAATTATATAAGAACTGTAATAATTCTTTCATTTATTTGCCGATTCTTATCTACAAAAAGGATGTCTATCAGAACTTGCGTGCAGTCAAATCGACTTCATATTTATTTTACATGTCGATAGTCATCTCCGCAAATTAATGACACAAATAATGATACATTACCGCACGTACTAAACACTCGAATAAACCGCCTACAAACGAATATAAGTCCAAATAAAATTACTAAATAATTTGCGCGGGCTGGGGTGTGCTGCCCTCGGGCGGCCGTGCCTGTAATTACAGCGCGGCCCGCGCATTCACGCCCCTGCCGCAAACCACGACCATTGATCTATTGACGTTTGCAAGGAAACAACGATACATCTGCGAAATGTACATTTTTGAGACCATACGGTACCGTAGTATCGGTTCGAGGAATTACTTTTGGATATGTTACGCAATTTCTCATTGATTTCAGGCTGATTTTTAGTAAAAAAATTGCAAGATAATCGAACTTATCTGGTTTTGATTAAAATTTATATTCGATTGCACTTATCGATCGATTGTACTGTTAATATTTTTCTTTAAAGAAATTGAGTTGTATCTTAAGATTAAGAATATTATGTGGTACTTGTATAAACATTTTCTTTATAAATGAGAATGATATTTACTCCTATGCTAAATTTAAATAAAAAACATTAGTGAAAAGTTTATTTATCGGATTGTTTCTAAAGTCTAGCTATGAGTTATAGAATTGAATTATCGATTGCCAAGACATTTCAGATCAGTTTAAAACCGCTTGGCGTTCGCTTCTAGAAACCTGTGAACGCCCCAGAAGGCTTCTGCGCTTCTGGAAGGAACTTGGTAGGCTCACCTAGCCAACCTTTCCTCGACGCATAAAGGACCATTCTTGACTTGCGGCAACGGCAACGGTAGCTCACAACAATACCAATACCCTTTGGCGTTGCGTAGAGATGTAGATTCACTCTGCTAGTACTTGTAATATTGGGAGTGCTCCGAGGAGTCCTTCGTCTCCGACATTCATCACTCGGATGATCGGTACTGGTGTTTAAGAAGTTTTTACTTTGCACAACCAATCTGTAAAATTTGTCATGTGTATCATTTACGAACAGATACAACTTTAAAGACTTTCAGAAAAGAACAGACTCCCATCTGAAAGGCCGGCAAGGCACTTGTAACTCTCGAGTGGCAGACAATGATATTTTTAGGAAGATACGTTATATTTATACTGCACGCACAAAATATTTGTTCTGTAACCGTACATACATCCTATTAATGCATTTTAGAACAAAACAAACACTTATCTGTGGTATGATATTCCTATATCTTTATTTACCCCTTTTTCGTAAATTGTGCACTTTCGGAATATAGAGAAAGGCATTTTATGAATTTCCTCGAATGAATTAGTAGTAGTAGTAGTGTTTAGAATACAAACTTCCAATAGATTTATAAGCACTTAACGCTTTTAACATCTAATTCATACCCAAAATAAGGGAAGAAGTCACAGGTGTTACGATTATCAACAAACCAATTT